GGGTTTCACCATGTTGACCAGGATGGTCTCGATCTCTTGACCTCGTGATCCACCCGCCTCGGCCTCCCAAAGTGCTGGGATTACAGGCTTGAGCCACCGCGCCCGGCCTGCCTGGCTAATTTTTTAGCTGTGGAGTTTCATCATGTTGCCCAGGCGACTCCTGGGCTCAAGTGATCCACCTGCCTCAGGCTCCCAAAGTGCTGGATTACAGGCGTGAGCCACTGTGCCCAGCTAATTTTTTAAGTAATTTTTCAATAGAACTTAACTAAACAAAAATCTTTCAACATCATGGTTTTCCAAGACCAAGAAAATATGCACTGTACAACATTTGGCATAAATCCTAAAATTTTTAATTGGCAAACTAAAATTGTACACATTTATCATGTAGAACATGATAAATATATTTAACATGTTTTGAAACATGTACTTAAATATTTTTTAAAATAACAAAATCTATAATGCTGAGTGCTAATATAGATAGAAAATTTCTTTCTGGGGGTTGATAAATGTTCTGGAATTAGTATTAATAGTTTCATAGCCTTATAAATACACTAACAAACACTAAATAGTACATTTTAAAATGATGAATTTTACAACATGGGAATTGTAGCTCAAGTTTTAAAAAATTTTAAAAATCCATAATGCTAATGGTATCCCAATATTAACGTGATTATACCTGTGTCCTGGCTGTTGCACAGGACTTACTACTTGAGGATGAATCTTGAAAAATGAGTTCCAAGACCAGTTTTCCTGAGAACTACTATCTCGAAACATTTGAAAAATAGGTACCACCAATGAGTCTTGATCTGTTATTTTACTTCCATCAGCTGATGCTGAAATAACTTCAGGTTGAAGACTGTATACACCATTTAAATTGTCAGCTACCATTTTGAGTAAATAAAAACAGGCTAAAAGTTTCTCTGAGAATAACTGACCCTTCTGTTGCTGAGTCAGCAAAAGTTTTATAGTATTTGAGGTTAGCTTTATCAAATGCCCCACATCTTGTTTGTATCTTATATCCCAATAACGGATTGATAAACACTGATGAAAAAGTTGAAAGATACAAAGTATCCATGCATTATGTCTTGAGCTTTTGTTTAAAAAAAGGTCAAATTTGGGAAAAGGACATTTTATAAATTGAAGAATGTAAAAAAAATGAGTGATACAAACTACTATGTAATTTAACATTAAATTTTTTTCTGTCACAGTTTTTGAAATTCCTATAGTCCATGCTGCAAGTAGATTTTTCTGGATAGAATGCAGTACTGTAATGGTTCTATCTGTCTCCTCACTATCATCCTTTGCATGTATCGTATCAAACATAGATGCAAATTCCAATCTTCCTTCCTTGATACTACTACACAGCAGATCATCTCTTTTGTTCCAAAAAGGAAATAAGTTGTCTGGAAAGTGTCTGTCTTCATCAGTTTCTTCTGCTTCAAAATCCTAAAACATGAGGGGAAAAAATGATACTTAATACCATTTAATATCTTATCAATAGAATCTCTTTAGTGTTCTTAAATTTCTCTTTCCTTTTTTTTTTTTTTTTTTTTTTTTGAGACGGAGTTTCGCTCGTTACCCAGGCTGGAGTGCAATGGCGCCATCTCGGCTCACCGCAACCTCCGCCTCCTG